TTAAAAAAGAAAGAATTCAACGCAGCTCAAAGTCTGTGTGGCTATTTCTGAAATAAGATTCAGTTTTGGTGAGCCAAGTGAAGACACACAAACACAAACAGAGCCCCACACGTACCCAACACAGACACCCACAGGCGCGCAAACACACAACTAGCTTTCTCTCTATGGTTTAGCTTGATAAATCACCACAAATGTCAGCTTGGAGCTAATTATTCATATATCTTTTGAGCAAAAAGCCGGCAATTCTGGCAGTCAATAAAAATAGGTCAACAAACACAGAAATGATCAGAATTTTAGAAATAGTTCTCAGTAGTCGCAGACCACCCAGGAACAGCAATTCGGCCTCCCTGTTGAAATGCTTTGGTGAATTCCTCAAGTTAGGTCCTGTCGCTGTGCCAGAAAAGCAAAGCCCATTCATTCTCCGAATCCTATGCTTGCCTGGTTCTCTATCATATTTCCCTTCTTCCTGGCCTTTCACTCTCAATCTCTCATGACATCTGTTTTGTGGCGCCCCCAACCACCCTGTCTCCCATCGTCTGACGTGCTATATCAACGCCGGCGGAGTAAACGTCCCCTTCTGGGCAGAAAACAAGTCCCTTAGACAGAGGGGTAATCATGCATGTATGGTTTTTATCCATGTTTAATATGTTCCAGGATCAGGAGAGAGCATAATTGATCATTCATACTTTCATCAAAATTGGGAAAATTGGTTTTTTTATGTGGTGGCTGTGAAGTTTGAATTTAAGGTTTCTGCCGTTTATAATTCAATCACTATTCCTTTCACTTTTCTCTACAGCTTTCCTCAGCTTTTTTCAATTATAACTCAACTGCTTGTGTGTGTCTTCTTGAATTGGGGGTCACTAAATAATGTAGCTAAAAATGGTCTTCTGTCAAATATTGTCCTTTTTTGACAAGCAAAACTACAAAATGGAAAACACAAAACATGATATTTCCACCAAGTCACCAGTGACCTTTGAGACATTTAACACAGATTTCTCTCTCTCTCTTGTCTCCAGACGCTGAATGGTTTGCCCACAGTGAACAGCTATGTCACAGCACCCAGCATCCCTCCCTACCACCCTCCCACCACCCAAGTGTCACCCTACATGGGGTACAGCGCCACCACGTCGGCCTTTGTGACCGGTCCCACATGGCAGCCGGGCAGTGGCAGTGCGCTATCTCCCCACAACTGTGACATCGCCGCCTTCTCGGCCTTCAAGGGCACGACGGCCCACCGTGACGCCATCCACCCAGTCACCGCCTCGGCACTGTGAAGTGGCGGGAGAGGAAGGGGGAGGGAGTGAGACCTGGCGAGGACAGAAGACACCGAGTCTGTCCCATGCGGCTTCATGCGATCCCTATGCCTCCTTTCTATGAAGGACTCGGCCCCAGGAACCATTTTTGTGCCCCCTTCTTGTCCCTGCGACACACAGTCACACCAAAGACACACAAGGAATAAACTAAATTCATTTTTTTAACAAACTTGTTTTCTGAGAGAAGAGACAGGTGTACTGAAGGACTGATGTAAGACTGCTACTCCATCCATCAACACAATTCCTCTCAGATTCTTTACTGCACACTTCTGCAAATGTCTTTGGGCAAAATGGGGTAATGTATAACTTCATGAGTAAGCAATCAAAGAAGAGGGGGAAACTTTGCATTAGTGTTTCAGGGTGTTTAATAATTGCTATCGTTTTTTTTTTTAAATATGTTTGTATGCTTTTTTGTGTTTTTTGATAAAAGCCTTATGGAGCATTGTTTTCCAACTTCTCTAAAAATGTAGCCTATGCGAGAGCTCCAGAGAGAAGTCTTATTTATTAGATTAAGGTACGTTGAATGAAGTGCAATTCGCCTTACAGACAACATGGGGATCTCCACGCATGTTTAGACAAAATTGGCATTGGTCTTATGTTGGAGTTTAGAGCATTAACAATTGACAAATGTTGCACAAGGAAATTGAATGTATCTTATTAAATTGTTTGGCTGTTATTGGTCTCCATGGAGTTTGCCTCAACAGTTTTTATTCTAAGAGAAGACATGAAATATAATTATCCTCCCAGTGTCAGTGTAGCTTACTCTAGGTCAATTCCGAATATTGTCGCGTGCCGGCCTGTTTTACATGAGCAGGAAACTGCTTTTCATAAATAATATATGTGCACGCTCAAACAAAGCCTGTGATTCTATTACCTAGCGCCACGGCTCACTAGGAGAGTTCATCAGAAATGCTTTGGGCACACACAGGCTTTGTCACCACATAAAGACATAGCTTTAGTCATTAAAATAAACTCACCTCATAACTTAATATGGCCCTTTCTATTTTCATAAACATTTATGCCTGGATATTTGCTCAATGCCGCAGAAGTACATGGTTTAAAGACATTATATTAAGTACTTCTACATCTATATATACACCGTGTAAATATATACCAATTATATTGTTTAAAATGTCTCCAATAAATGTAGTGTTTGAAGCAGATATATTTGGGTTGAAAATGGAGGTATAAAAATATAAAATACATTAGTATTACAGAAATATGGAGAGATCATATCATATTATCTAATCTCGCTCTTTGATTTTTTTTTTTGTAGAAATCAGGAAGTTTGGGAAGCCTTTGTTAATTAAAGCCAAGGTCTATTGTCAAACATTACAATTTAAAGTTATATTTAATTAAAGCCAAGGTCTCTTGTCAAACATTATAATTTAAAGTTATATTTGAGAGGGATTCAGGCGCACATAAAAAACAATAAATTAGAACATCGCTGATGCTTTCAACTTTGAGATCTGTGAATCGAAGACTCGGCGCTGAACTCAGAGCACGAATGCGGTCTCTTCGGTCATAAGACATGAGACCCAAACACGAACCTACAGCCGCCACAAAAAGGGCCCAAACAGGGCTCCCCCAGGGCCGACCCAACATGTTAATTACAAAAGGAAAAGCACACAGCCTGGTTTACAAATGACATGTCTGCAAAATGATGCAAAAATACTTTTAAGGGGGGCCAGTGTAATAAATCACAAGTGTGTCTAGCAAGCCCTGTCTCGCAGTGAAAACCAAACTGGGCTTGAAGTTGTATATTAATAACTTGATGATGTTGCTCACCTGCTCTTTTACATAACTCTACCTGCTGCAGAGGGGGGGTGCAGCAGCGTAAACAGGCCCTGCATGTGACAGTGTCAACAGTCCTCCCTTAGCAGGAGCTGATTTGACTTGGAAAGCACTCTTCCCCGCAGCCAGTGGTCACGGACCGTTGCTCAGGGATCATAGTGTTTCTTTGACCGTATGTGAACCACATCACAGGGACGTGATGATCATACACTCGCTGTAGCAGCCACCCATTCACCATGCACCATCCATCATAAACAGTAAATGATGGTTAACTCTCGGAGTGGCATGAAAAAGTTGTTACATGCTCTTTTTTACCTCAGCCTACACACAACAAGGCCAAACAACTTTTCCTTTCAACTAAGCTACAAGAATTGAGCACAGTCTTGTTAGCCTCCTCTGAGTCATGCAACGAAATTAAAATGTGGTCGTTTTAATTGACACCAGTGTTTAAAAAATAGGAACAGTGTGTTTTCTAGACGGGAGGAAAAGCTTCTTGAAGGTCTAATAATCCTTGCTCTTGTAGTCTAATGTTGGTCAGCTTTAATGGAGGCTAGGGTCTAAAAGGCGTGGTTTTAAAAATAGATGCAGACACGTGTTTATAATTAATGAGGTTGAGTCTGACTTCAGTGTCATATGGTTATCTTTACTTCTCCACATGCAATCAGAAACAAGACAGCCATTTGCAGAGTAACACAGAGCAGAGAGCAGGGTGAGAGCGTGTTTCTGCTCCATGGACATTTCTAAAAGAAGCTGACAACAGCCAGAATGTTTTCTTAATGCCTTAAAACAGCAACGCTGAGCACACAGGTGAGTAAACCCTCTTAAAAAGAAAAGACTGGGCTGGGAAAATCACAACATGTCTGGAGCAGTGTCTTTGGTATGCACACACTAAGTCCCATGTCCAATCACTCTGACATGAATCACTGCTTTTCACATGTTATCCTGGACATTTGAATGTATATTAATCATTAACCACAGCGGGAAAGACAGGTACGGCCATGTTTAAATTGCAGGCTCGTCAAAGTGGAGCCACTCAATTGAAATGTAACGGGCGGAGACGAGGAACACGCATGGAAAGGGTGTAAAGAAAATGAGGAGATGGGGGACTTTGCTGCTGGAGATTTATGATCGGCATGGTGTGTGCAGGGAATTCAGGTGAGGGGTGGCTCTGTTGCTAAGCTACCTAGCAATACACGCGGCACATGTTGCAAGCTGTCAGGTCAGAACCAAACATAGACATCCAGCCCTCCTTTACCCGAAAGGACACGTTAAGCGCTTACAATTCAATCAGTCTGCAAGCCGCAGTTGTTAGTCTATCACCACGGGCCCCTGGGCAGAGAACCGGGAGCCGCTCCATATTGGCAGTGAGAGACTCCCACATTAATGATGACTGTCAAATGCCAACGTGGCTCAGTGTAAGCCGCTACCAGATGAGGTTAAGATGAGCCACCAGCCTACCCTGAAGGCTGTGCAGCAGGTGTGTGTGTGTGTGTGTGTGTTTTTGTTCGTGCATATTTGTGTAAGAGATAGACTGGCAAAGTGAGAGAATGTGTGCGGTAACCCCCGCCCCCCCCCATTCCTGCAGTTACATTTGCATTTCTTGAGCTTGTTGTTTTAGCTTGCACTAAAGCTACGCTCAGGCAGCGACTCCCCGGCTGACACCCGGTCGGTTAATACAACTTCAGCAGCTGACAGCTTCTCAAACAACTGAGTGCTGAGATGGAGGGGAGAAGAGGAGGAGGAGGGTGGTAAAGTGAGGTAAAGTGATACGCTTATATCAATGCCAAGCTGGAACGCTCCCAGTGAGAGACAAACACGGAACAACATAAAACTAACAGGATGAAAAAGTACTAAACACACAGACAGAAACACAACACACAGACAGAGAGGAAGTTTAATTTTATTTTCTTTATTTTTAACCAAATCATTCAAGTCACTTTTTCACAAATGCTAACATTCCACATCAGGAAAAAAACTTAACACAATTTCTTACCAATAATAGTTTTCATACTAATCTAATTTAAGAAATGAAAATAAAAGATCAGTCATGCAACAATAAATTAATTAAAAAGGTTCTGCAATAGGCCTCTATAATAGAAATGTATAAGAAAGTATTCCTACATGAATTATCAGGCACTATTGCGGCTGTTTGAGATATACAGTAAGGCTCAGTAATATAGGCGCGAACACAGTATATATTTGGAATCACGTATACATTGTTGTATATGGAGATGTTAATACAAAAAGTGTGTATTGTATAGGAACACCTTGGAAGTGAGACTCATGTGAACTCGGTATGTCTTTGCTTCTTCATATAATTCATAAAACATGTACTGTGCATCTATAAAATGAAGATCTATACTATATTTCGTAAATCCTTTGTAAATTGCCTTCACTTAATTCCTCATGTTGTATTTCATTTGAAACTTAAAATTAGGCCCACTGAAAGCCAGTTTTCTATAATAAGCAATGTAACTTTAACTACTTCACCAAAACAAACATTCACACAACTCAAAAGCTCATGAGGTGTAGCTCTGAATTGACAGACATAAAGCACAACATACATGTGAAATATCAATAACTGTTCTAAATCTGTATTGCATTTGAACTAGGGCTGCACGATTTGGGGAAATAATCTAATTGCGATTTTTCTGACAGATATTGCGATTTGATTTGCGATATTTGTTTTTAAGCGACCCAACGGAAGTTTATTGTAAAATGCGGCCATATCTCCGGCTAGGAAGGTCGTATCAACGTGCTCCCGTCTCTAGCACCCCCGCAGCCCGAGCTACGAGTGAAATAACTAAACTTACATGAAACTTTCGTTGGGTTGCTTTAAAGTCAAGCTTCAGTTTAAGATTCACCCTGTAATAGATGTGATGGAGCTAACCTGACTCAGATGCTTTGTTTCACCAAACCATCTAGGAAAGCTCCATTGGAAGCCATTTGGAAAAGTATTTAAAAAATACTTGGCAGGTGATTGGATCAATCTGTCTATCACCTACTATCATGGGCCACTTCTGATTGGTTAACAATGGCTGCTACATGTGGAGCACAGCACTTCTGATTGGTGTGGATGACTGACACACAAGAAGAACAAAAATAATAATAATAATCGCAGGCTTTAAAATCGATTAATCGTTCAGCCCTAATTTTAAGTATTGTAGGACCCCATGACTTATAGTAGAAAATTGATTGAGAAAATATGTGATCAGGTCCTTTAAAACTCACTGTTAAATCCTGTTCTGCATTAGAAATGTCAATATTGGTATTGTAGCTGTTTTTAATTCCTGAGAAGGTAACTTAGATGATGATTACGTTTTTCCTCAGAAAGCTTCATTTGAAAATATATTGTAATGCTGAGTTGGTATTATTCTGCAAAATTGTGTATTCAATGTAGAAAAAACAAACTAACAAAAAAACGAATTTGGTCTGACGTTAGAGTCATTTAAGAATATTGGCAATGAGGTCTAATCCATAAGGCACTCTCTTTGGTTTATTTTTGTGTTTTTAGGTTTGTTACCAGTTTTTCTGTAGCCATCCAGACACATATTCATAGACCAGCAGCATCACTGCTCCACCTGTAACCCGACAGAAGAGAAACCACAGTGAATCAACACCTATTTCCCTGCTAGTGAATAAACAGCGAGAGCTAGACAACCAATAGAAACCGAGTTTTAGTGTCACGTGTGGACTTTCTGGGAAGCACAAAGGAATATTACAGATACAAAATAAAAAAATGGGTACATTTTAAAACACAAGTTGGGTAGGCAGTGGTTTTAACTCGCAATGTTGCCTTTCAATTGTATAAATATAAAAAAACACCTACGCAAAACATCGATTTTACATTTTTGTGATTTGAGTACACAGTTAAAAATAGATAGAACAAAGACATCAGAGAGGGAAATAGTGCACTCAGTCATTCAAAGTGTATTTTAACAGTAACATGACTTGGGGGTTCTGTCTATATTAATAAACTGAGATTTTGAAAAACCTCCATAAATGTCAGTCTACCCATGTAAAAATTATTCAAACTAAAACTTGAAGGTCTAGTTGAACTCTTTTCGTCTGCTGTAAAAGACAACTTGTGATTATAAAGAAATGTTTATGTTAGTATATAAAGCTTTTTATTGTTACCTGGTCCAAGCCTCATTATCTTGGGCACCAACCCCTTGTAAAGCGCCAGGTACCTGTAGGAAAAAGAGGATTTTAATAATGTGCAAACACAAAATGCCACAGTTAAATCCAAACATGTAAATTCCGTCAAGAGAACACTTCTCTATCCATATATAATTTCCGTGTGTGTACTCGCCTGTGTGTGTAGGCTGAGAGTGGGGGTGAGCTCTTTCCTGTCTGTCTGCCTGTCTGTCTCTCACCCCGTCAGGTACATATTTGGGGTCTAACGGCCAGCAGTGGCGAGTACCTGCCCCTTAATGCATTCAAGGTGATCAGTGGCTGGCTGCCTCCGCCTCGTGCTCCCTGTCCCGCTCCCTGCCCCCGCCACTGATGGCGTTAATAAGGCTCGACCCACTTCCTCCCTGGCCTTCTGTCTGATTAGATTGACCCGTGGAGCGCCGCGCGGCTCGTTAGGGTCTGCTTAACGACGTCTCCCATAGGGACCACTAATTAGCTGGGACTGTGTTGTGTTAGAGCAGGGGACTGGATGTGGCGGAGGGGGCACCCTCGACGCACCCCTGCGACGACAGCGTTTCAGTGCCGTTCCTGCAGCAGCCCCCGAGGCTCCTGCGTCCACTAACTACAAACATCTCGCTGGCCCTTGTCTAGTGGAGCTGCATGGGGGAAAGTGGAGAGCCTGGGGCAATTGCTAACATAACATACATCTTTTTCTTGAAGCTTCCATTTAGAGCTGCCATTCTCTGAGGCTCGAAAATATGTTAACGTTTACTGTACTTCTGACAGACTGCAGAGATGTATGATCACACACGTGGGGAATACAGCCCGCAATGTAACGTCACCCTTTGGTTTCCTCGGATCACAGCTTTGCATCAAGCCGTTCATGCACTTCCACTGTAGCTGGCGCAGGAAACTCACACTGCAGCAAGCGTGCTAACTTGTAGCTGCAGCTGCTACATTTGTCTTTTTTGACAGCCACTTTGGCAGATAACCAACTATTCATTGCTAACAAGGCAAACAGAGTGCCTCATTAATTCTTGGATGCATCTGTGACCATTTTCTTTCCATTTTTAATATACTGATGATAAATTATTTATCCCTGCTTTCACTTACCCCTCCTCCCGGTACACCATAGCCATGGTCTGGAAGCAGGTGCGGTACTTGATCTCTCCGAGCACGGGCTGGGGGCCTTGGATGCGACTCTTGGCTACGTCGAAGGGAATGTTCACGCAGGAAGAGATGGTCCCAGACACCAGGCCGATAGCAAACTTCCTCATGAACTCCAGAGTAGGGTCCTGGCGAAGAAGAGATACATGATTAAAATAAAGTATTAAGGTTCAACAAGCACATTTTAGAGAGGGCACCAGGTGTCAGGAATCATTGCACAAGGCATTCATAGTAAATAAAACAGAGCAAAAAAGAAAAGTAGTAACACACAGTTGACAAAGTGAATCGTGAGACATTATGTATATGTGAGCAAAAGTGGGGCAGAGAATGAGGGGGCTTGCGCATATGATTGCAAAGCTGGCATGAAAGCCCTGATCATTTTATGGTAGCGGGGGGCAGATTAGTGCTTCCTGGCTGTGGTGCAGTGTTCTGATTGGCTGAACAGAAGCACATGTTCTTTGGGGGAGCCAAGACCGAGGATTTATAAACAGGGTGCAAGCAGGCAGACTGGGGAGGCATATGGGGACAATTTGGGTAATTGGGCTGTGACTCGGCACAGGGGTATTACTGTACCAAAGAAGCCCAGACTCAGAGAGCTCTGACAGCTAATTGGCCGGGATATTTTTACAAATGACAGCAGCCTCTCTGGTCCAGGCCTTTCTCAAGCGGCTGGACACCCTGAGAGCCGAGGTAAATCAACAGCTAATCCCACTTCTTCAGTTTTTTTCAAGTGGGATGTGGGGAAGGGGGGTAACATACCCTCGGCCTAAGTACACCCATCAACCCACTTCCTAACAGCCTAAAGCAAACATCTCCTCACACATTCACTTGTGAATGATGGCAGTGTGCTATCTGCCATCTCTGTACTGTTAAAATAGAGGTGGAGAGATGCCTGAGCTCGGCCAGTTTAATTTGAATATGGACATGTTTGAGTTGCAAGCCCATCGCTCATTTTGCAGACAAAGGGGGTTTGGAGAAATGCCACAATCAGCTCAGCCTGTAAACTGACGGAGGCCGCAGTATTTATCCTTTTCGGCCTCAACAATAGATGCTGTTAGCCTCTCACAAACAAGATCACTCCATCACCGTACATACTGATGGATCATTCCCAAAAGAGTCTCAGAAGAGAGCTATTTGGGTCATCCAGCCACATAATTATCATTCAGACGATGACCACTTGCTTTTCTGTATAACATGCGTCACTGGAAAAATGTTGAATATAGCAGCGCTTGGGCACCCACTGTAACTTTCTCTTGAAAGTAGTACCGTTGTCTGCTTCCAATTAGTTCATTGGAGTTAATCTAATGCTCCGGTTTGTACATGTGGAACTGGCGTATGGTAACGTTTCCATTAAACAAAATTAACTTTTGTTTGGGACATCAGGCGCTGCCGGATGTGTAATCGGAGACTTTGAGGATGTTATGACGAGCAAACAGACGAGGTATTAGCGAGGCTGATCTTACAAGCTCTTCTCTGATTTCTGTTTCCTCTTCTCCATGGCAGTCAGGCTAACTAATCATTCTGTCAAACACTTGCATTCCCCCACAGGCGAGGTGGCTGGGACACGTGCATATCATATAGCCTGAAGTTAGGAAAAATTAAGTGTAGTCAAGGCTACAAACACACAATTTGGTTTGTCTGAAACTTAGGTTGCAATTGTTTCCCAAAAAAAACAAAAACACAGCACTTGAGGCCGGGATGTGATCACAGATTTTGGTTGGAATATTACCGGGCTGGTAGGAATAGCATCCTTGACATTGAAGTAGAAGCCAAAGTAGATCATGTTGAAAACCCCATGGCGTCCCAGCGTCGATGTGAGTCCTTTATTCAGGCCCCTCAGTCCGAATCCGTCCGCATTAATTATGCGTCTTGCTTGAGCGAAGGAAGACGGTTGCTGAATTGGAGAGAGTGAATTAAAAAGAAGGATATTATTCACATGCTGACGAAAAACCCCATCTGTAGAAACACATCACAGACTTTTATTTGTATCAACCTCTTTGAAGGCGTCTCTGTTGGCCTGGAGACTGACTTTCACCACTTCAAATGGATTGACGACAACTGCTTCAGTCAAGCCTGCGCCGAGCCCTGCTACAGAGAGCGCCTGGAGGGAAGACGGACATGATTTAGTATGAGCAGATAATATTTGGGTTGAGACAGAGAAGAATTGAAAAATGGATGTAGACAAAGAGGAGTATTTTCAAAGTGTCCGAGCTACAAGAGCTGAATCAGAGTTTCGCTTTCAGGAACTTGTTCCCCGAGTCTTTTGTCTCGTTTGAAATGGACATTTGTTTCTGTCACGCTTTCTCATTGTTGCCGTTTGACAAATGAAGACACACAAGACACCTGTGTGCTTTATAAGTTGACAGAATGTGAGATGACAGACAGGAGGTATAGGAAGGTGAATGAAAAGGGAGAAAAAAGGAATTTGTGAAAACAGGCTGTTGGAAAAAATTCAATTCAAGTTCGGTCAAAAAAACATCTTATAATCACTTGTTTTCCTGTAATCACAGCACTCTAATGTGCCACCCAAAGAGGTAACAAGAATACTGACTATTTATAAATGTATAACCCTGACTTGTAATTATATAATCATGGATGTTGCAACACGGCATGTTTTTGCATGGGGCAGTATGAGTGTGTGGGTGCGTGCTCACGGAGAAGCGTAATGGGAACATGTCAAGAACGTGTCTTTAGCGCATTACTCTTTCTGCCTCTTTATCCTGCTGTCAGGGCCCCGGGACCCATCCTCTCAGACATGCCTCGCAATGTTTACACAGCCAGCCAGCCACTTTTTAATTCCTTATTTGTATTATTACTGTGCGTGTCCTCATTAATCAGAGTGAGGGCATTCAGCTGTGCCCCGCTGAATAGACGAGAGAGAGGGAGCCAGTCAGGAGCAATGTGTAATTCCCTCGCACTAATGATCTGATGTGATTACAGCACTTGATACGCAGGGGCCTCTAGGGGAAATGGAGGCACTTGAGGCAGAGGACGACGAGGAGATAGAAGGAGGAGGTGGAGAGCGTGATGGATGGGACAGGTAAATATTTCTCCACCAATGGCTTTAAAAACAAGACGAGTTCCAGGTAAGCGATCCATCACACTGACACTTGGCTGCCACTTGAATAGGCTGTGTGTGGTGACCGCACCCCGGTAACGTGGATCCCTCTACCGCTGAACTCTAACAGAACTCCATTGGTGGAGATGGTTGAAACCGCTTGTAGATTCATGGCCTGAGTTGTAACCATTCTCTAGAATTAACCATCTCCAAGCAAACATAGACTTGAGTCTGTTTAATTGGAGTTTTTTGTTTGCAATTGCTTTGGCTTCACTCCACCACACTGGATTTCAAATCAAACAATGACTCGACAAACACACTTCAGATGTAAAAACGGTTTGGTTGCTCACATCTTTATTTTTTTAAATATAAATCCCTTTCAAATAAAAATTAAACCGAGATTTGTTAAAACACAAATTACTTGGATTGATTCTTACACCATAATCCTGCTCAACATAAGATAGCGTATATGGTTTTCTCCATATGGATAGTTAGTGAAGTTGGTTCATGGACTGTTGTTTTTTGTTTTTGTTATACCTTAATTAAGTTATAAGTTCATTAAATGTGTTAGTTGCATCAACACTGCTTTCATTTGGGCTTAACAAAAAGTGTTTTTCCAGTCGTCTTCACTTAATCCCCACTCGAGATGTTTACATTCTGTCCTGTCTAATGTGAGATGACCTTCTGTTTGGTCAGTAAAGCTGCCATAATTCAAATTGTATATAGTTAGACCCTCCAGAAAAACGCGATTATGCGATCGCATAATTTACCGCATAATCAGCAAAATGGCGCATATTTTTAAAAGGGCGCATATTTATTAAAAGGTCGCATAATCCCCGCATTTTTCCACACAAAATTGAGGGAAAAAAAAGTTAACGTGAAGTAGTGATGTCATCAGCTCGCGCAGGTAAACAACACCGTAGAGTGAATGTGTGGAACTCACACGAGAGAGAAAACAACAAGATCAGCGCCATATAGATTATTATATACTATTATACTATTATTATTATATACTATTATACTATTATACGGCTCTGACCAAGATGAAATAATCGAATCCATCTCATTTGCCTACGAACATTTCTGCTAAAGACCGGGCAAAGCAGTACCCCGATGTCTTGCACGAAAGTGGGGGGAAACTATTCTGCACCCCGTGCAACTGTGTGTTGGAGCATAAGAGAAAATCGACGGTGACGACCCACTTTGATTCATTCAAACATTCTAAAATGCTTTCTGCTGCTGCGGACAAGAAAGCCAAACAACTCGCGTTCACCGAGGTATCAACCTCCAAAATCCTTTCGAGGGCTACAAGAAACGAGGTGAGTAGCCTACAAGATTGAAGCTGGTCAGATAACGAACGAGTAAATGAAAACAGAATGAGGCGGAGAAGAGTGTGTGTGTGTGTGTGTGAGAGAGTGATTAAAATAGCCCATATATAAATACATAAATAACACTTTGTGATGTAGCTTGCTTCTAGTATGCTTGTTTATCATAGGAACTCTTTAAAAGGGCTCACTTTCATTCAGTAGTAGCCTAGTAACAGGGTGTGGGAGAAGAATCACCTTTTTTCCGCCTCCCGCATATTTTCGCATATTTAGCATATTTCCGCATATTTCGCAACTTCACCGCATAAAATCACATAAAAACCCCGCATGTTTAATCGCATAATCAAGGATTTTAGCCCGCATAATCAAGGATTTTAGCCCGCGTTTTTCTGGAGGGTCTATATAGTAGAAACAATATGCAGGGTTAAGGGTCAACAGGTGAATAGCCTCATAAAAGAAAGAAAGAAAAGCAAGTGCAGTAAATTCTCTAGGTTTACATGAATCTGTAATGACGGGAACATTTACAATAACTGGGTGGTTGGTGATATTATTCTTGGCATTAGTCTTTGTTTAACCAGCTTTTGGCAGATGAGCTGATATGTTGATTTCCGACACAGGGTGTAACGCACTTCCTGGTCTTGTGCGTGTTTATTTTTCAGGTGAGAGTGTGTTCAGGTGTTTCTGTGTGTAAAGACTCACCACACCAGCAGACAAAGGGGTCAAACTCAGCGCCTTCTTGTATTGCTCAAAAGTGAAAAACTGCAGAGGGAATATCAGAACAAATTACTTGTCAGAAAGTCACGGAGCATGTTTTAAATGTACACCTCTACACAAACACACAACCACATATGCACACTATCAGAAGCAGCTACCTTAAAAAGACACTCCGGAACAAAGGGCAATTTAGGTGAGCCTTGGATTAACCAAACTAGCACATTAAAATGATACAGTAGTGTAAACCTTAGATTACATTCTCAGTGGGAAGAAACACTTCTGAGAAGGACACACATAACGCTCATTTGTTTATCTGATCAAAGGGCAAAGCGCCAGAAGAGGCGTTTTAATCGGAGCTTTAATTTGCTGCGCTTTGTTCGCTGTGTGAGCGATTACCCAATTTTCTCAGTGTGTGTGCTTATTTTTAAAGTTCACACATACCCGTGTCCAGTATCTCATTACAGAGCAGCTCCATGCCAGGCTTCAGGCTCCCTTTTATCCCCCCTACCTCACCCCAATTACATGTTGTAAGTCTTCCTACAAACACATATCAATAGATGGAGGCTCAAGAGGAAGGCTTGCTCTAACTGCTTGTAAGTCAATATTTAATAGGAATAGTACAAATAGGAGTGGCTGAGGAGGCAGACATGTCATTTTGTTTAATCGGCGTGTGTGTACCATGTTAAAGCAACTGTGGTCAGACTGTTTTTATTCGGTAGTTCACACTAATAAAGGAGCTCGAGCGTTGCACCACACACCTGAAGTTGTGTGGTTTTCTATGAATCAACATGCGCGTCTTTCATCTCACCTTGACTGCTCTCTTCGGTGTCTCCGCAACAATCGGAGGAAGGATCCCTTTGTAGAAACCGGAGATTCTGTAGCAAGAGTAGACAAATTGTTCAGTGTTATTATCATCATTCAATTATTATTATTATCGGATGCCGTTTCAATTTCCACCTTGCATTTTAATCAAAGAAGATGCTGAACGAATAATTGATTCATATTTTAAGTATTTCTAAGAAATATGCCATAAAACCAATTTCTAATTTGTGAAGATGTATGCGTTCCTTATTATATGTAATAATAAACTGAGTATCTCTTCTTATTGTACTGTTGGTCGCAAGCAGAACTCAATATTTTGTGTTTGTGTGTGAAGTAGCAGGACAGAGGCCTTACAGAACCATACCCGTTGTTTTACATTTTGTATCCCATTAACTACAAATGTATATTATCCTTTACACTACAGCTGAACATTTTGGAAAAAAACCATGCTAGTGTTAGTTATGTTTCAGAACTTTTCTGAGCTGATAGCTTTCAGGTAATGTGCAGATTTTTCAAGTGAATCTACACAAACCTAATTAAAATGCAATGATAACATTGGTTACAGCAGTGCATTAAAGGGCGAGTTCACCCTAATGAATATAATTATCTATGCGGAGAGTTGTCTGTTTATTGGGCATCCTGTGTGCATAAATCCTACCTTCTTATTATTTATATTTAGGTTATCACGTTCAAAACTATGTCCATTCTGAATATGGACTGCGGGACATATACCGAGCTCAGAAAATGGAAACGGAAAGTATATTGCTGCTGCTTGGCAACATAAGTACCAACATATATTTAAAACCACAAACCCTGGCATACAAGTTCCCCTGGAATCCGCAGTTTATTTCAGACCTTGATATACTCAATGTTTCAGAAGAGAGTAGCCGTATAATTTTAGTCAATTTGATAGTTTGCCTATCCTCAATCATATGTCCTGCCATGATTTAAAGCGTACTTGGCGGCAGGAAAAATAATAAAATGATACACTGAGTCATGCATATATAGATATATGCCTACAGTTTACACTGTATTTTGAAAGCAATCCATTTTGTGGAGTATATTTACAGAGCAAATGTCCAGTCTGGTTAGGTTGTTGGTTTGATTTATTTTTCAATTCCATAGTTTAAAACACAGAAATGTGATTGAATCTAAACCGAATATTTAAACCTACTTGTTCTATATCAAAGAGTATTTTATTTTGCTGTGTTAATCATTGGAAGAGTTATGGTTTCCCGTTCTCAAAAATGATGTATTTGATGAAAACATGAAAGAAGATAGTGTGTTTTCTGTTTTGCAAAGAAGGCACAAAGCATGTTTCGTATACATTCAGAAGTGCATACATGTACGTTTTCCCTGCTCTTCAATTTAGTGAAAACATGGGTTCAATAGTTCACTTTTTATAGCTTGTGAAGTTACAGGGCGAGGCAGATGATGTCAGACTAGCTGTCAATCAAATGATATTATAAAGACAAATTATACAATGGATTCTTTTCAAATATCAGTAAACCTTTTTGCTAAAAGCTTTTCCTAAACCCCACCTACAGTATCTATGACACAAGTGGGCAACAATAAAAACTGTTGTGGATAATTAGTCATTAGATGTTGTGATGATCAACACAGACAACAGACTACTTCTCTCATTCCTAAATGTAGGATTGCCTCAAAGGGAAACAGGTCAAACTGGTCTAAATCTTTTAACAGGGGTAAACAAAATATGTTCTTCTTACATCTTGAAACCTATAAAAGTCTTTTCGATAAAATAATTAACTTTGAGCACTTCTATACATGACTAACCAACCAACCAGTAGGAATATGTCATGAATATATTACACAATATAGGGTATACCTGACAAAATGAACATGAAACATTATAAAAACATAATGTCACTGCCAGTGCTATTTTGAAGCATGTTTAACAGTGAGTTTTTGTCCATTTTTTTTTCCTACAGTGCAGCGAGAGCAAGGATTCTAACTACCACCTACAAACCTGTAGCTTTGTCAGAAATAAAACGTTTGAAGTCAGAAGCGGTTGAATAAAAGCATCCATCACAATATTTCACTACACATGTATTTCCTACCTAGAGCTTTTCCTCAGCAGATTATTTTGATGACACAAAGGATTATTCTACTTCATGTAGAAGCTCCATCATCAACAAATACAGGTTAAACAGATGTATTAGTCCATTTATAAAAGGCTTATGCACATTTCTACATGATTGTTTGTGGTTTTGGACAAAGCTACAGCCACAGCTTGACCACTTACAGTCCTTTTTTTACAGTATCACTAATTGTATTTAAAAAATGAGGCATGTGGATGAATTTGAAGTCAGAAGCGGTCAGAAGGTAAAGACCTAAAGAAAGTATCCGTGTGCCAAAGCCATAGCTTATTAATATGTGCCATAGAGCTCAATTGTTGTTCAAAAACAATTAAAACGCACAAATGAGCCACTTGGTTATATGTACCTTAATTTCGATGAACTTTGACACTTTAGTTTATTTGAATGTTAAGTTATTAAAAATAGAGCAGCAAATGTGTCTAATCCGCAGCTGAAATTATTCCACAACAAAGACTCCTGTTTAAACTTTGATTGCTAAAAATCATTGAGGAATTAGTTAAGCTTTGTTCTGTATTATAGACTTTCTGAATAGCTGATAAAAGATGCCTGACTTAACTAGGAGTGGGACAGACTATGAAGGAAGTCGTAAAGTATTGAGAGATTGGCAAAAAAGAGGTATTAACATTAACAAAAATAAAGAATATCACCAGCCTTATATTGTTTGTCATCAAAACAAATACAAATAATAAAAGTTAAAAAAAAGGATGGAAAAAAACACACATGTAACTTTCCACATGGCTTCTGGCCAGAAACAGGATAGAGAGCGAAAGTAAAAGAGTTAATATTGATAGTGAACACAGCTCTGTGGACAAAGAGGACAACATGGCGTGAACGACTGTATCTTGTGAACAAGCGCCACCAGCTCTGTTGTGCCAACACAGATGATCTTGGTTGATTTGGTCCAAGTGTAAATATTTGTGCTGCTGGCTCAAATTTCAACCGAATCTACCCAGAGGAGAAGGACTGGTCTTTAAACAGTGCACAGAATCCACAGCAGCGAGGCGGCTTTCCAGAAACAGCAGTGAACCACTTCAAATTATCAAAACACTTGTGATCGGGTGTCAGAGCCAACCTCTTTCATCAACACCTGAATTTACACAAGTGCTACCGGCTCTTGGTAATAAAGCCATCATCATAATACTGGACAGGGAGAATCGCGCCTCGAGGCCAAAATGCAATCCCTTGTATTGTATCAGTAAACAAGTTATTTCAGTCGGACGGAAGACCCTTCCCTCTGCTCTCTGTTTCTATGCAAATGGTGGCCACAGATTTCCCGGGTGTGGTCAGAATGGGGAACCGCCAGGTGATGAAGGAGGAGTGAAATTTGTTACAGAACAAATATGGCCTTTAGTGAGTGCCCATCATTTGAATCCTAATTTGATTTCCAATGTAAAATACACACTAAGTCCCCTTTTGGCTTTCCTAAACAAATGGCCTCCTGACACAGAGCGAGGGAAGGGGGGGTAGATGGATATGTGTGTGTGTGTAGGTGTGTGTTTGTACACACTTGTCTTTCATTTTCATAAACCTTTCCTTTTTGAACAGCCTCCATCCATCTGGAGAGGTGTGTAGCGCTGACAGGAGTACACAGACACAACGGATTCAATTAATTGGCCAAACATATTCATCAAGCAAAAAATATTGACTTCTGAGCGGTTTAAATGTGTAAACACATAAAGCGAAATCATTTCCATCAGTAGACTTCCTCATGTTCATACCATTGTTGTTGGGAAATATGAGCTGCCCTGTGGAACGTTTTAACATGTCAACAACCGGCATGCTTCATCTGCAAATATTTTCACTTTCCCAGCGTCTAGTGTAACCTTGACGTTGTCACATAAATGGGACAATGAAGTACAATTAGCAGCAGCCAAGATGCACAAAGGGCACATGTCACTATTCAATGCATTATAGAAACGTAAAATGAATATCATGGAGGTAAAAATAAGCATTAATCCTTATCTAATATGAGCTCAGAAAAGTACGAAATATATTTAATTAAGTTTGCTATATGGATACGGGAATTGGAGATTTATGATTTGAAGGCGCTTCTTTACTGCTATTAGGAATGAGAGATATAATCAGAATAGTGTATGCCCATATAGTAATATCATCTCTCAATATAAAAAAAATCAGATCATTAAAAAAAAACAACATGAGTAATCCTATTTTGTATGCTCCTATGAATGAAGAAACTTCAAAATTGAGAAGAGTATTTTCTCATTATACTAATAATTTAGTGCAAAATGAAAATACTTGTTGCAGAAGAAATTGGAGAAACAAATACATTTAAAAAGGGCCACGCCGTGTCACTTTAGATAAATGAGACATCAAATATAATGTGATAAATAACAGCTGATAACATTTCACAGGACAGGTGGCAGTGGCAGACATTAAGAGTCATAATAATTCACATATCTTGATCTGAATCAACTACATACAATATAACTGCTCCACCCAGCACTGTTGTTTTCAGGAACTCGTCATTGCTCCACTGAACGCTGGGCCTACGTGCTCTGCTGTAATGCATGGACCCTTTAAATATTCCTGTGGCCGTGCTTAGGGTCCCGACCCAGTCTCTGGATACCACACTGGTGAATAATGCTGGAGAATAGAGTCTTTTTGTTTCCCTCCAGACGGAAACAATTAACACATGCTTATGCTGCTGCACCCACATGCAAAAAAAAGAAGCGTGGCCTGTAAGACGATACACCAACCAATTGTTGGTGAGCATAGTTCACACTGTCACACACCTATGAGCACAGCTACAGGATTTCATGCTATATTTTACAGATTTAATAATAATAACTTAATTTATATTTTGAGTTTTCAACTGAAATGATCCAAACTATTATAAAGGTTGCTTAATAACAAGTATAAAACAATCCAATACAAAAGTGAAATCCTCCGCTTTTGTGTCACATGCACATTTCCATGCCTTTCCCCCAGCTTAATCACAGAGCTCGAGCAGAGAGCTCAGGTTTCCTTCCTCATCACCTCAGAGAGAGAGTGAGGCCTGGAATTAGCCCAGTCGTGCCACGAGCTGACGGGAAGTGTTTATTTTTAATAATAATTCTACAACAGTGGGGTTTAATACTATTTATATAAACTATAACTAAGTGGTTTTGCCTGGAGGAAATCCACAATGGGCTACTGGGGAGTGATTACAGCTTCAGCAAAAATATACTTTCCGTGATAATTGTTCGACAAGAAAGTGGATCTTCTGTCTGTTGAGAGTCTCTGGCACATAGCTTTGGTAAGTGGGACTTCCGTCAAATAACTGTCATATTTGATGCTGTGTTATCTGACAAAAAATTGTTATTGTTAGAGAAATGTACTGGAAATGACTCCCAGATGACACGCCCAAAAAGCATGCTGGCACAAAGGCATTACATTTAGAAAGTGTGTGTGTGTGTGTGGGGGGGGGGGGGGGGGGGGGGGGGCACAGCTCCTGTAGCAGGATAGCTGTGTCTGTTGAACTACAGCCAATGTAGGTTTTCCAACTGTCACTAGGCAGCCTCTCACCGTGCACTCACACACACCTCGCAGCAGATGAACTTTATATCCGCTGTAAAGCTGTCAACTCGCCATAAACAGAGCGAGTGGCAAACACTTTCTCCTTCACCTGCATTGTCTCACAGTCCTGTCACAGGAGCAGGAGCAGGAGCAGGAGCAGGAGCAGGAGCAGGAGCAGGAGCAGGAGCAGGAGGAGGAGGAGGAGGAGGAGGAGGAGGAGGAGGAGGAGGAGGAGGAGGAGGAGGGAGCATGGCGGGATAACTGTCTTTAGTTAGCTGGAAACATTTTTACGGTTTTAAGCCAACAACAGCTGCTCTCTTCTCCGTTGTGAGACAAAAGGAGTGACGAGATGCGTTCACTGCTGCAGGATGTTGACGTGGGCCGTTGACAGACTAAACGGCTCTTCTAAAAACCAAACCTGTAACACTTTCAGCTGTGATGCCAGTAGAACATCTTGCCAAGTTCCCTGTAGTGGCATTTGAATAAAAGCATCTATCACAATATTTCACTGCACATGTATTTCCTACCTAGAGCTTTTCCTCAGCAGATTATTTTGATGACACAAAGGATTATTCTACTTTATGTAGAAGCTCCATCACCAACAAATACAGGTTAAACAGATGTATTAGTCCATTTATAAAAGGCTTATGCACATTTCTACATGATTGTTTGTGGCTTTGGACAAAGCTACAGCCACAGCTTGACCACTTACAGTCCTTTTTTTACAGTATCACTAATTGTATTTAAAAAATTAGGCATGTGGATGAATTTGAATGAATTGCTGCATAAAGGTTACTATAGTATTTCAAATTGAAATATAAGATCAAACAAAGGGCACCTTAATCTAAGCCATCCGAGTGAAGACTGAGAAATGACTGCTTTTCCACTCATCTAAATGAATGTCTGACATCATTGGTGCTCTAAAGAAACATTATTTTGTTTGGAAGTTTGAAATAACTGATTTTCAATAACTTACCCCTCGTTGCGGAAGATGGTCCGGAAGCAATCAGTCAAATTCTTGTAGCTGTTTGGGTCGCTGTTTCCCCTTTGGATCTGGAACCTGCAATGATAAAGTTCTCATTAAAGCGTCCACACTGTAAATATTACAGCAGCTGGTAACTTTGTTCTCAATCTTTAAATGTTCTTTATCCTCCTTGTGAGTGTTGACATTGTGACACCTGTGTGTGAAATACACTCAGAACAAATCTGATCTCATCATAAATGAGCTCATTTCCCCTCCTTATTTCCCCCTCCTCTCCCTTTCATCCCTGTTTTGCTAAGATGAGAGGCTCCTGCCACCAGGTCCCCCCAGCACAGGGGCGAACTCAAACATTTATTTAACCCAACCGATCCAATTAGTCACCCAACTCCCAACGACCAGGCCTTTTGCAGCAAGCTTTTCCGCGACTTACATGCTAGTAAGCCAAATGTAACAGCTCTTCAGTTACGTGTAAATGTTTAATATGATGGGGCCAGTCGAAGGACTTTTTGTTGTATAGCAAACACGCTGGTACCCTTCTAATAAAGACTGGTGAGATGTGTGTATTTTACACGAGAGACCAGTTGGGGTTGAAAGAATGAGTATAAATGCTACCTGTTAGAGATAAAGAGTTTCAGGTATTGAGACGATAATAAGAGGTCTCATTATATACTTCCACATGGCAAAGACAAAACTCCAACAAATCATGTTAAACTCTGATCAGATCACAGAGAGCCAAATATTGGAGCAGTTAAAAAACACAATAAACTAAAGAATAGTTCAAAAGATGATACAATTACTTGATACTTTTGAATAATCTCCCTGTGAAAGAAAAGGGCTCAGAGGGTAGAAACAGAAGCAGAATGAAGTAGGGACAAGAGAAAGATTCCCTCCTCATATGGCTTCAACTGCAAGGTCATTAGGTCAGCAGTAAGTCGTCCATGCGGGTGCCTGATGGGGCCATAAAGGGCCCCCAGGTTCCAGTGGAGGGGGAGTTTAGTGGGGTGAGCGGCCTTTCATATCGCTAACAGATTAACATCTTAGAGGGGTGTCCCTCAAATCCTATTTGGTGGATTCCCAAATAGCTTGTAACCCGTTCCTAAAAACCAGTTAAAACAGCATAATAAATAGATGTCTGACACCATATTAAAGAGAAGAAGAAAAAGAAGGACCTGAGGTATGAGGGGATGGTGGTATAAGGGGTACGGAGGGGGGGCAAAGACCCGGAAGATTTAAGACTACTGGGGCTTGTAAACATATTCAAATCAGGCTTAATGAAAGGCATATGATGCTGGGGTCAAGGATGGAAGGGACCCTGTCCACAGCCTTTCCCTGTCTCCTGTGCTCTGCCTGCTCGACCCGGACCAGTCCTGAGAGAGTGGAGTTGGCAGGGCCGTGGTCCAGTTCCAACCCCCTGACTCCCCTCTGTGACCCGGGGTCACCTCATTTCCTCATGGCCCTCTGCTACCCTGCCATAAAAGCCAGGGACCAAACAGCAAGGCCAGGGGAGAGGGAGATAATAGGGAGGACCAGAAGAACTAGTGGCAGCAGGGGTACTGACAGGCCCCTGGCGAGGAAGCTGCTCTCCACAGCAACCGACAGTGGAAAAACAAGACTCAAGAGTTCAGTCAGTCCTGGTTGAATCTTCTGATTTAGAGGATTTGTGCAGACAAAAAAGCTCTAGTTTCTGTTAACAAGGCCTCGGTGAATAAGAAGATATACTGGTTGGCTGAAAAAGAGCACAAAGTAGCCTCCATGTCTCTGGCAGAGTCACTCGGCCTTGGAGTCAGCCATGCGAATCGTAAACTCAGCAGACAGAAGATGCAAAGAAAATCCCGGGGCTTCTGTAAAACACATCGCTGGGAGCATCTCCTTCAATCATCAGCGAAAGCTAGTGGCGATACAGTATACTCAAGAGGTGATGAGATCTGTGAGTTCATCAAGAGTTCCCTTTCCTTTCCTACTCTCCTTGTGTTTGTGCTTTACAGGCCCAGAGCTGCACAGGTGAGGGTGAAGGCGAGGGCAGGTTGGTGCTTCTGTGAACTAGACAAGCACTCTGGGGGAAATAATCCAGAAGACCTCGCCCACCTGACCTCGACTGCCTATAAAAGTACAAATTCTAGGCCTCCACAAAGAAGTCAAAAAGGTAAATGAGGGCGGAGTAGGACGCCTGAGCCCCATTCTTTGTATTTTTATGGACAGGAGCGCGGCGTTTGAGGGTCTTACAAAGCTGTGTCCGCTCCCAGACCCCGTGGTAATGGGCTCGAACCGGGCACCAACAAGACGGGCTGTCACCTCACAGAGGACGAGATGTTGAGGTGAGGCTCATTAATGCTGGTGTTAAAAAAAAGAAACCGCCTATGGGAAAGAGGTAGGTGGGTTTGATCAAAAGGCAGAGGCTTGATGGGTTTACTTTTTTTTTTAAAGGGGCAGGCTAGGCTTTTTAGGAGATCTCTTAAAAATAGGCCCTATTAAATAAAGGGTATACCTCAGTGGCACTTTTTGATGACTCAAAATGTAGAGTCTAATAAGGCTGACATGAAATCATCATATTTATCGACATATAAATTAACACTCCATACAAAGAAGTAATGACCTAAACTGCGACAGGTAGTTAACTTCAATTATATCAATGTTATCAATGATATAGTAACATTTGAAATGGTACCATTTTCACCTAGTACAAACAGTTTAAACATGTGAAAGTTATGTGCGATGTTGTGTGTTTGGATTGATTGCTACAGTGAGAGCTTCGTTCTGCTCATGCCTCTTTTAAGGAATGCCAAGTGCTTTGTCAAAAAAGAAAAGAGACAAAAAATATGATTGAAGTGAATCGCAAAAGGGGAAAGGATAAAGGTTCAGCATGTGAGATCTGAAGTGCAGGAGACAATCCAGAAGGCAACATAAAGGGGAAATCTATTTTTTACTGCCAGGCAATTAATTTTAATGAGCGGGATCATAAAGATGGTGGAAGTCCATTGCATTGGTACATGAGGTTAAGGGCACTTTACCGACCTAAATGGACCAACATGGCAAATGCTGCCAATCGTGACTTTAGTCATCAAACCTTTTTTCAGGGTGAGAGTGTAACCAAGAATAGATAATGGTTCCAAAATCTGCTTGTTATGAAAGCTTGATGTCTTAGCACTGAGCATGACTTAAGATAGGCTTACTGACAGATTGAATCAATGATAAAACAGTTAAGGGAAACGTTTTGGAGCATGGCAGGAGGAGGCCAATAAAGCCAGAACTTTGTAGGTAGGAAAATAAAGTTCAGGGAAGAGATGGGAGGAGAGGGGAAGTGATAAACTTTCGGTGCTTGTGACACGACAGGCTGCCAGAGCTTGATCTGAAGTCAGGTTGGGTTTCACCAGCACCACAATCCTACCAGACCTGGGATAGCCCGGGTGGTGGAGTAGGTTTGGGCAAGGTGGAAAAAAGGTTCCTCTGGCTGTGAAGATTGCTACAACGTCCCTCCGCTTTTTTGATTATTTTTCACTCCGATAAAACTGACTTCTCTGATTCCCTATGGTTATGCTGAGAACAGTTTGCCGGGCCAGATGTCTGCTCATATACTGTGACCTGTGTGACCTGAGATCAGGCTGTGTTAGCGTGAAAGAGCAGGAAAAGAGCTGCATAAAACAGCACGAGGACGGGCCAGACTGAGGCTCAGATGTTTTCAGCATTATAAAGTTATGGTCGACAGACAGATCACCCTATGATGTTGAAGAGGACTGTAGCAAAAATATAAAGCTGCTAATGTGGTGAAGCAGATAGGTGGAAAAAGCGATTGGTCTTACTGACATTTCCAGTAAGTGGTTGTATAACAGAAAGGATTTCTTGGGTGTTTAAATGGGCGTCTCTTAACCTCTGCCAAATGCTGTTAACTGAAATGATGGTGCTAATGTTCGAGCAATCATTTTAATGATAGAATGCATATATAACATATATCATAACAGTTCAACAGAGTGCTCCTAGTGTTATTCATAGACCTTTTCGTTAACAGGAGCGGAGCTAGATTGATTCACAAGTTCAATGTAGGGGAAAGATGGAAAAAAAACAGAAGCCATGACGGATGACGGCAGGCTAGACATGCTGGGTCAGGACTACCCGGGGACAGACTGGCCCAGCGACAGTAACCTCCACTTTGATGTGAGGAGAGGCTGCAGGGTTTTGGAGACTCCCCTGACAGCAGGTAACCACTGGCTATAACACAGTGCGCTCCAGACAGAAGACAACTGTCCCACATGGTATCAGAGAGAAACCCGAGAGTCACTAATAGTCCCCCGCATTATTTTGCCTTATAGTCCGTCTCAACAGGCCACGACACAGTGCTCTGCTGTGGGCGCCAACAAGCATCCCACAGACTTTAAAAACAAGTGAGGTGATTTCACAAGCCTGTTATATTCTTTAGTCTAGGTTAATATGTTTTACTTGATGTGTTAAAGTGATCGTTCTTAAGACTGAAGCCATCAAAGAGACGGACGTGTGTTGCAAACTAGAATTTGCTATAAAAATACTTGCATTGGATAGCTTTTTTCAAGCCGTAAAGGTATATTGTATTGGTCCCTACCTAATAACAACAATGATTACAATTATTAAAAAAAAAAAATGTTTTGCAAAGGCAGACTGATAAGCGGAATGTGCAAGAAACCATCTACTACTGTTATCTTTCTCCCTGTCTTCTTTCTCCATTTACCTTCTCTTTTATCAATTATCTGACATAAACATCTTTCTTGTACAAGTACTACTCTGTCTTCAACTGGCATTACCGAGAAGGAACTGCAGGCTAGTTCAGACACTTTTAATGGATGCCAACCAGACCCTGCACCTTAGATCAAATAGTTAAGTGCAGCATGAGTGACAGGAAGTATTATGGATCCAGTCAGCGATGCAGATTTGGAACATTTGATAAGTAGCAACCATACAAACATTTATAAACAAGCTTGAGATGCATAACTATTGGATCTAGGACTTGGAGACAAAGATTGGGTGATTATGGAAGACGTGCAAGGCCTGCTGTAATGTTCTTGCCCTTTTCTTTGCATGCCAGCAAACCCCTGCAATTACATAAGTAATTG